TGTGAAACCCACAGCCACAGGTTCTCTGCTGCGGTCAACCAGGCTATTGAGCGGACTCCGCCCTGCCTGTTGATGTACGCCACTGTGGTGCGGTTGTCGCTCCTTACTAGCACCTGTTTGCCCTGTATTAAGGGTTTGCAGTGCTGTAGGACCAACATCACTGCTTGCAGCTCCAGGAGGTTGCTGTGCCGCCAGAGGCCAGCAACCACCCACAGCCCTTTCTAGACACGTCCCCCCCCCATCCTGTCACTTTCTTTTTCTTTGAAGCGTCTGTGAAGACTGTGATATAGGAGGTTACCTGCCCCAGTGGAGCTCCCCTCCGCAGATTCTCTGGGGACCCCCAGAATCGGAGGTTGCTCTCTACGGAGGGGGGGGATGGCCACCAGACGTCGTTTGTGTCTTAAGATCTAAACGAAGGCCGGTAAACCACATCTGCATGCGACGTGCAGGATCAATTGGGCTGTGTGCAGTATTGCCCATTCCTTGGACCTGGCCATAACTATGAGGTCGTCCCTCATGCCATGGTCCCGCAGCGGTTGCAGCGTTGTGGCTGAACGTGCGTGGGGATAGGGAGTAGCCGAACGGCTACTGTACTCGTAGGCTACCCCCTGGAAGGCAAAACGCGAATACTTTCTGTGCTCTTGGAGCAATTTCGCCATGAAAGTAAGCGTTCTTCAGGTCGATGGTTGTGAACCAATCGCCTGGCTGCACCAGTCTCAGTAACTGTTTCATAGTTAACATATGGAACTTCTTGCATGCAATGTGCTGGTTCAGGCATTGAAGATCCAGAATGGGCCTGAATTCTCCTGTCTTCTTGGGAACCAGGAAGTACAGGGAATAATGCCCCTTCTCTCTGACTTGAGAGTGCACATGCTGAGAGGAAACCTCCTCCTGGGATGACAGATGTGCCTCTCTCCTGCCTCTGAACGGAGGAGGGATGCTGCAAAACTGGAGTGAATAACCCAGTCTCAGTGTCCTGTCCATGCGCTCTGTTAATACACCACTGATTTTCCATTCCCCATAACATTGTGTTAGGGGATGTGCAATCAGCTGCGGCGCCGCAGCTATGAAGCTGTGGTACTCTCTGGTGGCCCACTCCGCCGTCAAACCCTCCATAAAAGGAAGTTTGACCCATGGGGGGCTGACACAGAAAGGGCCGTTTTTCTATAATGTAGTTTCCACTCAGAGAAAAAAACGGCCGATTTTTAACTGAGGTCCCTGAACGCACCACGGCATGCTCCCGTGAGAGCGCGCGCTCCACCATAATGCTGTTTTCTCTTAGAGAGAAATAAGCATTAATCTGAGCTTCTTCTGTCCATGAACGCACTGCGGCCCGCTCTCGGGGGGGGGGGGCGCGCGTCGTCATAATGCCGTCTCTTGAAACGGACATTATGGGGAAATGTGGAAAATGTGGAATGTGGAGAGAGATGACTCTTACTCTGGGATAAATGCAATCGTTTTTACTGAATGCATTTTACACACACATATCACTCTAGAACTGGAGTTACACTACGTAACCCACTGTTCTTCTGCGGAGGTCCCTGAACGCACCGCGGCCACTCTGACGGGGGGGGGGGGGCCGCGCGTCGTCATAATGCCGTCTCCTTGAAACGGACATTATGGGGAAATGTGGAATGTGGAGAGAGATGACTCTTACTCTGGGATAAATGCAATCGTTTTTACTGAATGCATTTTACACACACATATCACTTTAGAACTAGAGTTACACTACGTAACGCACTGTTCTTCTGCGGAGGTCCAATTAACATCGTATGAAAACGGCCTTGCCGATCTCAACGAGACATTATGGGAAAATGTGGAATTGTGGAGAGATATGACTCTTACTCTGGGATAAATGCAATCGTTTTTACTAAATGCATTTTTCACACACACATCACTCTTGAACTAGGGTTACTATATACGTAACCCACCGTTCTTGCAACAGGGCCTCTTTTCGACTTTGGAGCCACAGCTAAGAAGCTGTAATATTCTCTGGTGGCCTACTCCGCTGCCAAACCTTCCATAAAAGGGAGTTTTGGCATGGGGGCTGACACAGAAAAAAGGGGCCGATTTTCTACTGAGGTTCTTGAACGCGCCGCGGCAGCTCCCGTGGGGCCGCGGCTCTGTCAACTGCCATCTCTTTGAAACGGACATTATGGTGAAAAAATGGAAATGTGGAGAGAGATGACTCTTACTCTGGGATAAATGCAATCGTTTTCACTGAATGCATTTCTCACACACACATCACTCTCTTGAACCCGCACAGTGCTTTGACAGCACTACGGTTTATTCCACTCACGTGCACGCGCCCACCTGCTGGCTCCTATACTGGAGTTTACAGAGGGGGCGGGGAGTGTGGGACAGTGTTCTTTCCGATCCAAAGAGCCCTTCCGTAAACACGGGGGCTCCCAGGAGATCAACACGGTCCTTTTTGAAAAGTGCCATGCGGCGTGATCCCTCACCGGGATACCACACGGCAGACAACGGCGGCGGCCCCGATCAAGCTACAAATAATCGCTCTGATCTGGCGAGGTGGGGGCATCTCCAGCAATGAGCGAGATGCCCAAGACACCCGTGTTTATCTGCAGTCGCCCTATCCCGCGGTAGCGTGGCAGAGCTCTCTCCCTGCCCAGCCTGCTGCCCGCTGGGAGCAGCTGCGCTCCGCCGCCATGGTCATCACCTAGGGCGGTGGACCTCCATGGACCGAACCCGGAAGTGCCCGACAACGGCAAACGGAGCCATTCGCCCCGCTGGAATGGCGAACGTGAATGGCACCGCCTCGGCCATATCCTGGTCCCCCAAACACTCTAACAGAGGTGGTGGAGATCGGTGCGCGCGATCAAACCAAGGCAGGTGGGGCATGGCCGAGATTCCAGTAATGGTGAGTCCATTTTTCGTTTCTTCTAATCTTCGTACGTTTATTTAACTCTTCGGTTGTCAGCTTGTCTGAAGAGAAAAAGGATAGTGGGGCGGCGGCTGTAGCCGCCTTATATACTGTGGGCCTGCGCGCGCATTCAGGTAGGCTCGCCCCGATTGGCCGGCTACGTTTACGTAGATTCAGTAGGTGAAAGCACGCACAGCATGATAGAGAGTAGTACCCATAGAGTCCAGTAGAGGGCGGAGCCTGTGAGAGATATAACATCAGGGATGGAGATTATGGTAGTTTTTATTTCCTTTCTGATAATAGCAGCTACACCACCACCCCGCCCTTGTGGGCGAGGTTTGTCAATGTATGTGAATCCTGCTGGGGTGATTCGATTTAAAGAAAAATAGTCATGGGGTTTTTGCCACGTTTCGGTCAGATACAGAAAGTCCAGGTTATTGTCTTTAATGAATTCATTCAGAATGTGGCTTTTATTGTGGATGGAGCGTGTGTTGAGCAGGGCTGCTCTGAGGTGACGTTGCATTGGGAGGGGTTGTGTGGACCGGGGGAGTGGAAGGAGATTGGTCAGATTCACGTGTTGTTTGTTGTGATGGCGTAGTGTGGGCGTGCCACAGGACCGAATGGACGGGGTGGAGTGTGGAGACGTGGAATGAAAGAAAAACGTACGGCCAGAGCCTCTGTGTGGAGGACGGCGTTTGCGGAGTATTTCATTTTCTGCAAGGATGTCCATGCAGTCCGGAGGCAGGCGGTTATTAAAGGAGTGGAGATCTGACAGGGAGTAGAGCGGCGGCATGATCCGGTGAAGTGGCGCTAGCACGGAGCTAGCTAATGCTGGGGACCCGGGCAGCAGAGACCAGGAGCCGGATGACCGTGGAAGAAGGAGCGGTGTGAGTCCAGGTAAAATCAGAAGGATAATCCACAGCATATCAGGAGAATAATTCCAGTGGTTTCCGGAGGAGAATCGTAGGAGGGGCTGACAGCCTGGTGCAGAGTGGGAGCCGGGTGACCAGCCTACTAGCTTGTTAGCTAGCTTGATAGCCACCGGCTGTAGGCGGCAGGGAGAGACGATGTCAGCGGGGAAGCCCACTGATCGCAGCGGGATGGGAAGACCCACACGAGCCGCAGAGTTAGGGTGGAGTTAGGGTGGAGTTAGGGTGGAGTTAGGGTGGAGTTGGGGTGGAGTTGGGGTGGAGACAGAAATGTTAGCTCAGCAGACTTCGGGGAGCCGAGGAGCATCTAGGTAGCAGCCTGCTAGGTCCGATAATGCTATAGCTAGCGGGCTAGGGACCGGTGAGCAGGAAAGAGCCAGCAGGTAAGAGATGGTTAAGGTTACTTAATTATTAACACGGTTAACTTAATAAGAACTTTTTTGACATATTTGTACTTAGCTTGAGTACTTCCATTTAATGCTACTTTATACTTTTCAGAGGCAAATCTCATACTTTTTACTCCACTACATTTATTTAACACTCAGAGTTACTTTTTACATGTAAAACACATGATATTCTGTTATGGTATAATGCAGCACTGTAGTACTAATCTACACAGTATTTCACATTTCCCTATTTGGTAAACATTGAAAAACTAAAATATTAAAATGCTCTTAGTATAAAAACAGGGTAATATGATAACCATAATAATATAATAATGTGAAAGATCCATTCTGTATAACAAGTGATTTTATTGTTGCTATTTAAAGTACATTTAGCTAATAATAATGTTGTACTTGATATTATTCTGAAATGGGCCATTTTACAGAATGAGTACTTTTTGTACTTTAAATATATTTTACTGCTTATACTTTTGTACTTCTACTAAAGTAACATTTTGAAATCAGGACTTGAACTTGTAGTGTATTTGTACTTTTACATAAGAAATGGATGAGTACTTCTTCCAACACTACTCATGTCGTTGGAATTTGGTGAACGCAGTGAGCATGCGCAGTGTGCGGAAGTTGTACCTGTTTGGTTTCGACTCGACAGAAATAGAGGTGCTGTTCTAAACACTCCAAATGTACTATAGGTTCCCGAGTTTGATGTGCTTACAGTTAGCTCAGTGTTAACTCGTTATGTTTAACGCGTTGCTAAGCTAGCGTTAGCTCGTTGGCGCTACTTACAGCTGAAGTTCTTCCGGAGTTTTCTTTAGCAGCTCGTGGACCTGCTGCTGTGTCTGCGCGTGCCACTGCAGGAACACTGGCTCCTCTTTCTGAAGAGGAGAACACATGCTTTAGTTATGTCGAATAATCAGACACATAACAAACATGTTCAGTTATTACCTGTAGCTTATCATCCTTTAGTTCAGCTAGCTCTCTCTTCTCACGACGTGTCGACCCCACGGACATGTTGACGCTCTGGCCGTTGCCATGGCAGCAGCCCAACGATCAGCTGTTGTTTGTCCAGGATGACGAGGATCACACACCTTTATAGAGTCTAATCAAACTCACATTTACCACCAGTGTCTGGTTGTGCTTTATAACTTGTATAATTGATAAGCCTTTTCTGGCTGATCTGCCCCTCTGGAGAGAGCGAGTTTTTTTTCTGGTGTGGCCGAGTAAACACGATAAGCCCACAATGAATTAGTATTGTAGCGTCTCGCTGCGATAAAACACACCTTCTCAGCAGCGGCGCCGGATTCATTTCAGAAGTGGGGTGGGGGGGGCAAAAAGTGCGTGTGTATGTGCAGGGCCGGCCCTAGACTTTTGGGGGCCCTAAGCGAGCTTTGGCTTGGGGGCCCCCCTCACTCTAGCGCGTTCTCACTACACACAACCAGTGTTGGGCAAGTTACTTCCAAAATGTAATATATTATATTACTTTAAGTAATAAGTTACATTACAATATTACTGTCTCTGAAATGTAATGAGTTACACTACTTTTATATTACTTTTGAGTTACTTTCACCAAAATAACCGCAAAAGAATGGCTAGGTATTTTAATTGCTAAAATGTAGTTTAGTGCAGCTCATTATACATCCAGTGAAGGGCAATGTGGTATAGCATAACAACTGCCCTGCTGAAAAAAACAGCATAGACCAGCTTAAGATGGTTGCTGGTTTTAGCTGGTTTTAGCTGGTTTTAGCTGGTGTTAGGCTGGTTTAGTTGGTTTACCAGGCTGGACAAGCTGGTCAGGCTGTTATTGCTGGTTCAAGACCAACCTGGTCAGCTAAACCAGCATAGCCCAGCATGGATGTCATGCTGGTCTATGCTGGTTTTAGCTGGTCTATGCTGGTGAAGCTGGTATTTATGCTGGTCTACCAGCAGTCTTGCTGGCGAAACTGAAATAGACACAGACAGACAGAGAGGGCGGGACACGGGGGAACAACGAGACGGCAGTGGTTGAAACAAAGCGGTATGTTTTGACTGGCACGGTCAAAACGGTCGAGGAGTGAAGATCAGTTGAACGTTTCTGTGACTCCGCCCAGCGGCTGCTCTTCTGAGAGGCACAGCTCTGACAGCTCTGTCTAAAGTCCTCCTGGAGGTAAGCAACACTACACAATTTCACCAAGACTGAGAGTAAAAGCTTTCTCAAAGGTTAGTTTTGTTTTCTTACAACGTTACGTTAATGTTAACTTAACCTTACGTTTGCTAGGAGGCTAGCTGTCTTAGCTAACAACAGTTAGCAGCTAACGTTTTCTGCAGTTTGTGTTTCCCCTGAAAAACGTGATGCAGTTAATTAAGGTTAAGTTAAATTAACGTTATCGTACAAGTTGAGAGAGTTTCGTTTTGTTTAAAATCGTCAATGTAATGCCATTAGAGGTGTTGTGTTGAACATGAAGTTAGCTAACTGTTATGGGCTCAGAACAGTCTCATAATACACACATGCACACAGAAGGATTCACACTTGTATTTCATGATCCGCAAAAGGATTCACACTTGTATTTCCGGATCTACACTTGTGTTTTTCAATGCACACACAAATGTGTTCCGTTTCATATACATGTAAATAAAATCCAAATACAGAAAAAAGTTTTACATATGTATTTTTGATCCTCACATATTTGTTTTCCGTTTAAATCCCCTGAACCTGCAAACACAAACCGCTTTCTGTGCATGGATCGCTGTGCATTCGTGTGTGGGTTTTTTGAGACTCCCCTGACAGTCACCCGATTCGTACTTGTAATTTTTTCTATCTATAGCCAGTGAGTTTCTCATGCAGCTCGCTAAAACTTCACTCGCGTTTATGTCCATATCGATTAGGCTAAGCTAACCTGTAGCTGCTCCCTCCACACTCACAACAACTTCATACAGACATAAATAAAGCAGCTGTATTCGCCATACAGGAAACACACATTTAAAACGGTTTTGCCTGCCGTTTTTGTGTACACAAGCATTCATTAATGGTTCGGAAAGTGGCACTGTACCTTAATAATATAAAGACTTGTATTTGCGTGCATTTCCTGTTCGGAAATGGCGCTGATATAGTTTATATAATATGCGGTTGAACTTTAAAATTAAATTATTTCCGGTGCAGAGACAAACACTCGAGGTGGATGTATAAAGTACATACTGGTGTTAATAAAATATAGCGTATATCCCTCAATTTATCGACAATAAGAATGACAATACATACTTCCGGGTGTAAAGTAATATATCTATCATACTGTAGATCCTACACATCCACTGGAGGTAGATTCTGAAAGTAAAATATACACTTCTCACTAGAAATGTAATCATAAAGCATTATTATGGCCAAACTATCCTACAATTTAAGATTTTCCACTGAAAAAAGTGTTGGATTCAAGATTCAAAGGTTTTATCATCATATGCTCAGCAGCTACAGTGTAGAAATGTCAATGAAATTCTTCTGACCTGAGCTCCTCCAACAATGCAACATATATAATAAAATACAAAAATACAAAATAAAAAGTAGTGCAAAAGTTTATATACATGTAATATAATAGAATATGATATTTACAAGAACAGAATATGAAATTAAATAATGTAAAAAGTGTCCAAAACCCCTCTTAACCAGCAATCTATTCCAGCCTAATATTGACTGACTGGTCAGGCTGGTTTACAGTCAAGTCAAGTCAAGTACCCCTCAAAAGGTCCGGTTTATTTCATTTTAAGGATGCGCACCAAGCAACATCTCCAGGTGCTCCTTTGAGAACCTGGGCAAAAACGTTATGTACACCCCTGACTATAATGAAGGTTGCTAAGGAGGATCAAGAAAGAGAAAGCAAAAGAGGTTAAAAGACGTTTTAACATCTGGACATCAGATAAATCACCAGAAGAAGGCAGAGAGGAAGTAAACAATAACAGGAACACGGAATGGGCTCTGTATTTTGTTTAGTATATGGCCATGTACAGGCCCGGTTCCAAAACAAAATGACTTGGGGTGCATCTGAGATTACAGGCTACAGCAGTAGTAGGTTTACATGAGCAATAGTGGCCGGCAACAGCAATGAAAAATAGCATTGATGTTATGGTCCCCAATGAACAGATTATGGCATTTGTTATGTTTTGAAACCAAGCAAGTGGGAACATTTCAAGTGGGTTAAAAGTGCAATCCTGAAATATTTAATATAGTCCAAAGTGGACTATGGCAAAGAAAAGCACAAAAGCTTCAAAACTGTACTGATAAAACAAATGAGAACATATTGTAAATCAAGGCAAATATTATTTGAACAAGCTCATGGTTTGAAATGGCAAACATTGAAAAGCAAAAGTATTATTAAAACCATGTACTACATCATCACCTTGGTCCCATCATATACTCTGGGAAGAGAATATTTGCTGTGCTTGAAAACTGGTATCACATCATCATGTGAGGTTGAGTTTGTGACCTGGAGAACATTTCAGCTGCAACATTAGCTTGTTGATAAGCTTGGGATATGAGATATTTTTGTAGCCATTCGTGGTGAAGGCATCTGTGCTATTATATATGCATTATTTTTGACGCAACATTTCTACAGGCATGGCAGAATATGGCACTATTTTTACATGAATATTCTAGCCATTGTCTATTTTTATACCACAAGCTGCAAAATGACCGCTTTACCCCATTGTGCAGGCGGGTACTTGTTTAGATATACCTGGGCAGGCTCTGTTTTGCCATGGTATCCTGGCACCAGCGGGCCGCAGAGGGGCGGTGTAAGTACCATATGTGTTCGGCCTGTCACTACCATGGATGTATAATAAGAACTGGATACAGCGTGGGAGGCGGGGCCTCATTCATTCCTATGAGAGTTGCTCAATGGCGCATGATGATAAAATGGCCCAACTTTTGAGAGAGCGAAACGTCACAGATTACCCGTCATGCCTGAGAAGTACCCGTATGTGCGCTCATAGCGCATGCGCAACTTTAACCACGCTCCCCAACATGGGGTGTTTCTCAATCGCGAGTAAAGCTGCTTCAGAGCCACTATGTCAAGCATACTACGTCATCGAGTGCCGCCGAAGTACTGTTCCAATCTCCAGTATACTTGGAAATCTACCGAGCCCGGCGTACTCCGTTTGGAGAAATATCGAGTCTGCACATGAGTAGACTTCGCGGTCTTAAAATCCCCACAATGCTTTGCGCACGGACCAATTGCCCCAAATCTGTGGCGGAAGATGTAAGGCGGGGCCTCTCATATGACGCACACCTGCACACTTGCTAGCGTATTCCACACTTCGTTTTCCGAATGCCAGGAAGTATTCTTGACTCGCTTCTGAAGCAAGATGCTCGGCAGACATGTGCTACCAAGCAAGCGTACTCGCGATTGAGAAACACCCATGCTCGTTCACATCAAGCACGTCAATTTCAAGAGAAGAAGAAGAAGAAGAAGCACGTAACAGCACCGCGCGTTCATGACAGCATGGTAATGGCTTGTGTTATTATGATGGATTTGATATTAACGAGGCGGCAGTTAGCAGCTAGCGGCTAGCTAGTAATTATGCTAATTTACACATCAGTCGTTATGTAGGCTACTTTTATATTACGCTGATGTAACAGGATCTAGTGATATCCAAGCAACAGAGCTTAATTTAGCATGATACTTGTGTGGGTTGTAGCCTACATGAAACCACTTGGTAATTAATATATACAAATATATGTATTTGGAGTTATGATCAATTGTGATTTAAATCTTTATCTAAAAAGTAAAGCTGATGATGGTGGAGTTAAAATAACAATAGCCTATTTCTCTTTGAAATGTGATGGAGTAAAAGGATAGTAACCATGATTATTCATGTTAAGTACCCAACAAGTAACACAAGTAAAACGTATAATACTTGAAGGAAAGGTGTAAAATGTTTCCATAAAGGCCAATATCACACACTACAACACAGACTATAACACCCCTTGTTGTTAAATACCAACCATGTGTGTATATATATATATATATATATATATTTATATACAT